AAGAAAAAAGGCACAATTTTCTTTCCATATTTTAGATTGTTTGCAGACTATGTATCTGTGGGACCTTTAGCTCCAAAATAAACTGTGTGCTGAAGAATGTCTGGAACAGCAGAGGTTTTATGCTTCCAAGTTTGAGATGGCCTCAGAGTGCAGATCTCCTTTTCTCTCTCGTTTCTGGAATGCTTTTTGACAATTAACAGAATCAATGACCACAGAGCAAGAAATCTGCCCAATCCATCAGGACCTAAATATGAAAATTGGAGGAGGAGAGAGGGAACCTTCTAATGACAGGAAGGGGAGAAGAGGTGTAGATTTTTTTTGGCTTTACTCATGAGCATTTCCTCATGAATTCTGGAACAGAGTCAGGAAATAAAGATAGCAGCCAGAACTCACCTTCTGCATCTTTTTAAGGGAGAACTAGATACACGCAGCAGTAGCAAATAAAGGAAATACATGACTAACCTTCTCTATGCAAGGCAGATGCTACCCCAGTACAGAGAGCTGGCATAAAACCAAGATATAGAGGCTGTTTGGCAAACTCTCAATAAATATTAAAAACAAAAGTCCAATGATATCTGCATTTTTTCCGAAGTTGATGGAAAAATTAAGGCATGTGTTGATACTTCTGGGAACAGAGGAGTTACCAAGATTCCCGGGTTTAGGGGAAAGAACAAACAGATGGAGAAACTACCTGTTATCTTGAATCTCAATTAACGTCAACAGAGAAAAGAGAAGAGCACCTGCATTGAAGACAGGACCACAGAACCTTTTCTATCTTTCCAGAAAGGCTTGCCTGACTTTTTGAAATGAGAGAGCAGAGGTGCCTAGAGTCTTGTCTGGTGGAGTAATGCCAGCAATACCTAAGACACTGGATGTCCTCTTTGTATGGGGTTCACCCTCTTCTCCTCTCTCCCCATTGCAGGTATATTCCTTGCTACTATCCAGCCTACAAGGACAGTGGAAAAGGAAAGAAGAGAGACTACTTTGTTTTAAACAGAAGGTAGCTGTCATGCTCTGTGTTGCGCATATATATATTCTTTTTATATATATTCGTCTGCTGAGGAACAGTGGAGATCAAGTGCACAACCACCCCCTGAAATTAGTAGAATGTTAAGAGTATGGAGAATATGCTCACCTTAAGCAGCATCTTAGAAGAAATACCACCTCATCAATACATCAAGACAACAGAAGTCTGGAACTCTAAGCAAAAAACCTATCCCTGCACCAAATCTGGATTAATGGGTCCTTAAAAAACAGTTACTAAAATAGAACTTTTATTTTAAGTAGAAATATTTCAAATACAGAAAAACACAATCACTTCTAGTTCAAAAGTAACCAAGCATGTAGCAAGTGTATTACATCAACTTAAATAATAAATCTAACCTGTTAATATTTTCAACGCTATACTTTGTACTCACACACTTTTGAATTACTCTAACACTATTTTAAAACAAATCCTTTCACTGAAGAAAATATCAATATATCAAAACTATTTTTTAAACTAATGAGCTTCCCCTTTTGCAAAGCAATTACTCTAAGTACTGAAACCGTTTCCATGGCACCCTCCACATCACCATGACAAATACCGGCAATAGCTGGATTTAAAACAAACAAACTGAAAGCCCCCAGTCAGCAGCACTTGACTCAAGGAAAAACATTAAATGTTTTCAAGCAGAAGAATTGGAAAACTTGCTCTTACTGAAAGAAAGAAAAGTATGTACGCACACCTGCTGTTCTATCAATCTAAGCAGGAAACCATTTCACTGCTGCATCATAAGTAGAAGAAAAGTGCTTATTAAAACATTAATCACAGTCCATTATATTCTGACTCCATGCCAGAAGTTCCCATTACATCACTGAAAATATCTATTAACCAAAACCTGATTTTGACAAGTTACAGAAGTGTAGTGTTTAGGATTTAGTAATGTAAAAGTCAGTTTTAGAAGAACAGTTACACAATTGATTTTGCAGTGGCAAGCAAGTATAATTAATTGTTTTTGTGACATTTATTACTGCAATGGGGTTGATTTAACTGGTGTTTCTACTGTAAAATTCTTCAAAAATTATTTCAAACTTCATCTACTTTTATTAAACACATTTATTGTGAAGGTATTTAATACCCGGGGCTGGCTAAATAATTTTAAAGTGTGCTGGATATACCAGTACATGTAAAACTGTATTGTCTTGTGTAAATATGGGCCTTGTTTAGAACTACGTCTCACAGGAAATTATGCCAAATGAAAACCATCTCCCCTTCTCCTCTCCCACTGAAAAGGATTTATGTTTTTACATTTAATACCAGTTAGGTAAAGAAACAAAAATATGGTGGCGTTACCTTCAGGCCTCAGCAATAGTTCATCTGTGAAGTCCGATTATGTTCAAACCCCTATTTCGTTATTACAAATGTGGCCTAACTTGAATGCATACATTTGCAAGAGAGAGAAGCAAACAACTCAATTCCTTCTGGAAGTCTGGCTCTATGTGTGCTGTTTATCTAGAACAGTTTTCAACTAACTATTAAGCAAGGCATTAAAAACAAAGCCATGAAAACCAGTTCCTAAATGCATGTAGGTAATTTCCAGCCAGACAACTTGACTGCAGGTACGTTCTTCAACCCCTGTAGGCAGCCCCACTAAAATTAAAACAATTCAAAGCTGTAGAGCATCATAAGAAACATGGATTATGTCCCTAACCCAAGGGAGGAAAAAAAAAAAGAGCATTTTTAAGACCATGCTGAATTAATAACGGCTTCTGTAGCCATCTGTTTAGTGCCACCAATCTTCACAAGACTGCTGCCTGTTCAGGCATCAGTCCTCTCTTTCTTAGCTCAAGTGGGTGCTGCCGCAGGCTCCATGTGTGTAAATGGACAGGTTTACTGGCCTTGCTGTGGGGTGTACTAGCTGAGGCAAAGCACTGCACAGACAGCACCACAAGCCAGCTTCAGTATTGCCAGCAACCTAACTGCAGGTGTCAAGCAACCAGGTAACATCTCAATCATTTGATACAAAGGCTTATTTGAAATGAAAGCAGTAGCCGATTACAATGACTAGTATTTAAAGAATTCATTGAACATACACCCATCCTGCAAATAACCGGTGTTTAAGAGACTCTGAATTAAAAGCACCTCATGTCATTAGCGTTCATGATGAATAAAAGGGGTCCAGAACACACAAAGCTAAGAACAGCTATGCTTTTGGGGCATTTGTTTATTTGTGAAAGGCTTGGGTTCCTCTTTTGCCCTCTTGACCCAACACACATGAGCCTCTAACTACAAAGACACACAAGACAATAACCTTTTACCTGTTCTTGGACATCTTTCAATTTCAAAGACCCAAAGAGCTTCAGTTTTCCCCTCCTTTCTAAGTTGTGCCATTACACCAGAAACGATGCAGTCTCATTTCTTACAGCTTGGTCTTGTGGGTGATCACAAGCTCCAGCTGAAGCTTTTTCTTGGGAAGGTAGAACATCTATGACATGTCTCACCCCATACAGCTTCTCTGGGCACCAATAAGACTCCTGATCACTCTGAGAAATGCTACTCATCGAGAAGAAAGCTGCAACAAAGCTATCTGAAAGGGGTTAAAGAATCACAAGCAACAGCTCAAAAAGCTGCACAAAGCTTCAAGCAAGACACTCTCATGCCTCTCTCCGCCATTTCAGGAAACTTGTAATTCAGCCATTTGATACCCAACCAAACAATTTTCGTTTGGAAGGCTGCTTCACAACTATGTTTATCAGTGTCAAAGTCAAGAAGATGCATCATTTCTGGCTTTATTTTCATCTATTTTGCTGGCCATCCCATTGAGTCTAAATGTTACAAATAACTCCCCCTTCTTGAAACAATAATGTTGAAGAGTCTAGGAAGCCTCTTCCTCTTTTCAGCCTTCCTTCTTGCAGTTTTATTACAATGGATTTTTACAATGCCGTAGAAGGCATATTAGAGGACCCTTTGGAAAGCCATGAGTGCTTGCCTCAACTGCCCCTGAGCAGCTCCTTGTCATGACATATCTCTGCCATTCTTTATGGCCAAGTACAACAGGAGTGATGCTCAGATGTTAATTAAGAGGATATCCTCCTCTCAGCTGTGGTCTTCAATGTGCTCCCATATTCTACATGACAGACTTCACTCCTTGCAAAGATGTTCCTCTCTCTGTAGTCTGGGCTTAAAGAAAGCATCTGGGGGCTCTGTTCCAAAAGTCCCCAGATGAGCTTTGCCAGAGGAAACTGAGGCCCTCCTGTTGCTGAAGTGAGAGATAAGCAGAGAATATCCCTCCTGCACATGCAAAACATATTGTTTTTCTTGCGGCAACTACACAATTCCCAATACTACATCTGGCTGAGGATTCAGAGGGACTCACAGGGCAATATGATGGAGTGCAGGAGAAGCAAGGAGGGAAAAAAGTAAAGAAAAAGAAAATACTGAGCACAAAAGCTACTCATCTCAAACCATGTAACTTTACAGAAGCAACAGAAGATGTAAAATTTGAGTTCTACAAAAATGTGTTTTTTAAGCTGATGGAGGACAACCTAAGGAGTAGTCTGTGGATGCACAAAGTCACTGGAGGATGATACATCAATAGCAATATCAATGCAGAGGATGAAGGGAAGGATGAAAACAAAGCAAGGCTCTCAGTAACAGGTAACAACTATCACAGACAATCAGATATTTTCAAGTAGGCTGGTAGTAATAAGGCTTTGATTTGGCAAAATGCAAAGAGTACAGAATATAGCACATTTGGCCCACACAACTGCTGAATGCCTCCTGCCACATTATAATCCATCAGCAGGCAGCTTTGCCTGACGCTAGTTTAGCTGCCTACTTCATAGCATTGCTTCTACACCTGCAGAGACAATTCAGGGTTTGCTTCCTATCTATTCTCAGTTTAAAAAAAAACCAGTATTTACTGGTTAATCCTGTGGTACAGTTTGCCAGACAATTCTCCATTTCTTATCTTAAAGTCTTGCCATTTTTTTTTCCTTTAGATTATATGCATTTTAATAAATGCATGATTTAGTATTCTGCAAGCCCACACTACAAAAAGACTATTCTGGAATAAATGGTATAATTACATTTCCTACAGCGACCTTGTAATCTCTCGAGTATTTATTCTAGACTAAACAGCCTTACTCAGCTGCCCTGTGTCTGATTGTCGATGAAAGAAGCTTGTTTGACAACTGCTCCGAGCAGAAACATATTTTTTCCATGATCGCATGAAAAAGTAAAACAACATTAACAGACCAGTATTTCAAGTACAGAGACTCATGTTAGATCGATGAGTTAATTCTGAAGCCAAACGCCAACAAAAACAATTACTACGGACATTCTGCTGTCATGGACAGCTTTTGAGGTTAATTTAGTGATACATAGACAACTATAGCCAACTTTACATATAAGAAACTACATCGTGTATGCAGGCTTCCTTCTTTGTTTCTTTATATATTTTCCATATTCTCTGCTTTTATAACCCTCCTGAGACCTTTTACAGTTACAGAACCCACACTATACCCACAGGTGGGCGGGCAGGAAGCAAAACTCTGTTTCATAAGCAGTCCACTTTAATATATTCAATTGCTAATGACCTTGACAGAAGAGCTCCATGCAAAACACCATATACTACAGGGTGTTGTTTGAAATGGTCAGAGACATTTTTGCCAGAAAGCCGATTTCTTAAACAGTAAAATTTCAGACTTACTAAAAGCTGCACTCCTTTCCTTGATTTCCATTTGGCTGGAAAAATTGGTGCTAATCAACCTCCTCTATATTGAACTTGCGTCCTTCCAAAATCCTACAACAAAACCTGTAGGATTTCTATAGTATGCTAAAGCAATACAAAAGAGTTCCTTTAGGCAGTCTTTATAGGCACCATGCAAGAGGTATGAGAAGTTTGAAGCTATGGAGGTTTAGGGAGTGCCTGCAAAATGAGAGACAGCCAGAATAAGACTAAATTAAGATGGTTTACACACAGTTCTGTTTCCTTCCATCTTCTTTTGAAACAGATTGCTCACTTGGCCATACTCACTATTAAAAAATTGTACCCATACAGTACTTTTTATTCAATTATTCATGCTGAAATGAAGAAAAAATACTTCACTGTAAAAGGCTGTACGCAAATATGGCTGTCTGTAAAGCCATAATCACTTCTTCCCTACCAATTCTCATCCATTAGGTGCCAGATTCAAAATGCATTGCGGCTGACAGAAATCCTTCTACTGAGGATTGCATCTGGCCCAGCAACAGGAGACACTGGGCAATTCAGACCATATGCCTTGGTAGCCAAGAGAATTCCTGCAAGAAGGAGTGCAACCCTCTCCTGCCCTCCAAAGCAAGACAAGCTTTCCTTGCTTTTACTCAATCTTTTGACTCTGACTACTGAGCTTACAGAAAAACTGTATTCTATTCAAAGGAGCAGAATGAATTCAGTGTTCAAAATCAATGGTCCAAAGCAGATCAAGTAAGCCCTTCATTTGTGGCTTTTCTCCTTTTCCAAGATTCAAGAAATATCTGCATACCTCAGTGACAAATCACCTGCTACAACTTTTAAGGCCCAGTGGTCCTGTCACCCCTTCAAAATCGATTTTCAGTTATTTCATTGTCTTGAACCCAACACAGACACTGACAGAGGTTTAGCAAAAACTAGTCTGGCCAAAGACCAGATGAGCTATGGCATAAGAAGAGTTTGGAGAGCATCTTTACTATTGACTTACTTAAGGAAAAAAATCATTATGATTGACAGCAAAGAAGTTACACGAATCATTTCTAGAGTAAGTGCCAGAACTCTACATGTGTTTCAAATTACTCTACAACACTGTACAACAAAGAAATATGCAGAAATTTTCCACTTGAAATGAAGGTTAAAAATTAAATGCTTACAAAGCTCCAACAGATATGAAATCCAACCTCATCTTAATTTAGAATTTAAAATGACTGAGCTGTCCTACACCAGGAAAAAAAGTAATGAAACAATCCAGTTGTTTATTAATCACAGTGGGCAAAAAGACATTCGTTGTATGTACAGACTTCCACGCTACTCTGATTTTGCTTCAGTACTTGTCCTTAACTTTTAAATCTAAGCTAAATGTCATTTTAGCTTTTAAATTATCAAAGTATATTACCTATCTTCATTAGATTAGTGTTCACCACTATTTTTTGCATCATATTTAAACAAAACGCCAATTAACTACAGCACTGCTAACAATGTGATTGTACATGAAAACAAGTTGATAGATGAAAGGGAAGTCACATTTTTCCCTAAAGAAAAGTACAGATATTTGGAGTAAACCTGATATTTACATTCACATGTATATATTCAGGATGTAGCTCTCCAGAGAAAGTTAAGTAGGCAAACACAGTTTTATTTTAAGCAGCCCAGGCTTGACTTGGTTTCAAGGTCTGTACAAAAGCTCTCTGTAAAGGCAGAGAATTTTTAAGTGGAGAGCAAACAGAAATTCTTATCTTACTTGTAAACTGCCCCTATTTTGCGAGACTAGGACTGTGTTAAGAGTACAATTCACTTGGATTACAACTATTTCTAAACTTTGAGTCAAAGTTCACGCATCTTTACCCAAAATGTTAATCACATCAGCAGATTTTCGATTTATAGTCAGGTTTTAAGTAGCTTGCCTATGGCTCTTCCACAGCTGTAAAATACTTCGTGTGAGAACGCTGTGTGGCTTGCCATGCATACTTACAATTAATGCTGAGAATGTCTTTACATTCTCAACCTCAACCAACCATCATTTTGATCCCTGGGTTTTTGTGTTTTGGTTTTGCGTTTTGTTTTGGGTTTTTGTTTTGGTTTTCTTAATCAAAACTACAAAACAAACATACATTTTTAAAACAACAAACTAATTTCCATCCCCATCCTGTTCTGCTCTTTCACTACTTGGCATGTCAAAGTTTGTTATATTTTTTCATCTCTTTTGTTTTGCAGTAAGAAAAATCCAGACCTCCAACCACACAAATTCAGTGTGCTCAGCTAAAACATGGGGAGAGAAGGGGAAAGAGGGCAAAGAATGGCTTTTTTTTGCTCTTCTAAGGAAACTTCAAAGTAAACTAATGGCATGAGTGCCTCAGCATCCAGGCGCTTCTGCTCCCTCTCTCAACCACACACCTCCACTCCCTGAAAGCCATGGTAGGTCACACAACCCTACAATGACTTTGGCAGTTCAACAGATTTGGACCAATTTGACCCAAACAATGACATTCCCAACTTTAGTCAAAGTACACCAATCTGTTTCCAGTCACAGCAGAAGTGCTAGTAGGGCCCTTGATAACACAGGGCTCTCTAAACACGACTCCTATCAGCAGGTTGCCTTCCACTCAAACTGGAAACCAACAGTTTCCCAAAGCACATCACTGAACACCTCAGTAATTTAGAGTACCAACCAAGACACACAGACCCAGGACTATTACTCATCACGGACTGACAGGCAGCTGTAGAGCCCGCCTCCAGGACAGGCACATTACAGTGATCTGAGACACTTTTTTCCAAGGACAGCACCACAGGTTTGGGAGATGCCCTCATACATGTCTTCCCTTCTTCTCCAAGCCATATTTCCATTTGACATCTGAGATAGGCATGAGTTGGTCCTCACGGCCTGAACACCCAAAGTGATCTTTATCATCCAGATCAGACCATCACCAACCTGGCACATTCAGGTTGTAGTCACCAGGTGCCAAGACTTCCCTGCAGTAAACCCACAGATGCGTAATCAAGGCAATCTCTATTAGAGGATGGCTCCAATAATGCTTCACTCCTACTGCCATTAAGGTTAAATACGGTCTACAAGTTACTGTAATACATGTTGCTCCCAGAAAGCCATGTTGGAACTAGACGATCATAAGGTCCTTTCCAACCCTAACGATTCTATGATTCTATGATTACTGCCTATATTTCATTACTCCTAGAAAATCTTCCTCATTAAAAAACGGGGAGTGTTGGGGGTGTTGAAGGACACAAGCCCCTACACATTACACCAATCATTTGTGTTGAGGGGGAAATAAATCTATTTCTTCGCCATTCTCAGACTCCCAACACACTGGCAAAAAATGCATCATGTTAAATGTTTCTGTACACAGAAAAAAAAAAATGCAAGGATGTTAAATGTTTCTGTACACAGAAAAAAAAAGAAAATATACAGCCCCAAGAGAAACTGAAAAGAGTTTCAGCAGTACAAGGATGCTGAATCAAGCTTACCGGACTGCACACAAGTTATTTGTAAAGCCAAATGAGCAAATAATATAAGTCATCTTAAAAAGCAATTTTTAAATTAAATTATAAGAGATCCCTAACAAAGCTTTAAAATGATCCCTTATGGATTCACCATTTATCTTGCTCTTTGCTAGAAATCTTCTTGCCAGATGTCTCCTTCATTACAACCGTTTACTGGCTCAGTGGGGTTTTGAGCAACCTTGCTTAGAAGACAGTGTCCCAGCACGGGGGTTGGAACCACATAATCTTTAAGGGACCTTCCAACCCAAACCACTCTATGATTCTATGAAAGAAAAGCAGCAGTGATGCTGAAATCTGGAGTGAGTCCTGAAGAAGGTAAGAGGTTAAGATGTGAATATTCAAAAAGCCCGCTCTATTGAGTGCTTAACAGTATCTTAAGAAAAAAACCTAAAAAAAAATTAAATTCTGCTACCAGAAGCGAATTCAAAGCTTCCAGTTCAGCAGCATCTTTGCAATAATTACAGCTCCAGAAACTTAATGATAATAGCCTGCACATTCGAGTGAGCTATTTAGCAGCAGTAATTAACCAGACAGCAAACTATTAACGAGAACATGAAAAGATTTAACCCGTCTTTGTATGAGTGCAAATGACAAGGAAACTAAAAATCTTTAGCAGGAGAGGATAACGATGTGCCCAGCTCTTCTGCCTCACCCAGGCAGCTGTATGCAGCTGCCTGAAAAAACCCAAAGCAGGGACTGAGGCACATTAGTTAAGCATTCATCATCAACAGGAAATGCACGAGTTCATATAAACACAGAAATACAAATATGTAAATGAAGTGCCTTGCAAGGTTTAAGGTATTCAGACACCCCACGGAACAGGGTTAGAGTTCTACAGGCTGGGAACCCACTGCAAACAGCCTCAGAGGAACTATTCTGGTGTGTACCACCAACCCACCTCCCCTTGCTACCAAAACCACTCCCAACTCCTCCAGCAACTACAGAGCCTCTGTTTGTACTCAGAGGGGTGAAATGACACACTCAAAAGCATCTTTAAGAAAAGGCTATGAGCACTGCTTGCAAATGCTGCTTCAAATATGCTTGCATATGGACTCTACAATTAAAAGGATTTTGTATTGCAAGGTGCTGGGCTGCCTTTGAACCAGTGTCACAGGCAACTAGATGCGATGGCCATGGAACATACAGGATTCCTGCTGATCTGGACACTAGCACTCGCCTATGGGGGCACAAGTCTTCCCTGCACAAGTCATCTCCCCCTGCCCACTTTCATTTGTGATGAGGCTTAGGGCCAAGAGAGCCCCAAACTCCCTAACACTGGAGGTCCCTCACAGCTGTGGTCCATCCAGACAGGTGGTGAAGGCTGAATCTGGCTTTGCCCAAGGTTAAACTGCTAATTAATATTTGGTCTCAGAAGCTTGATATGAGATAAAAGTTACAGGCATCACGAGGACACAGAAACAGCAAAAATGGGGACAACCTCAGTTCCAGACAGCAGATTACTTATTTACTTTTAAAAAGTCTATATACCTCTATAATTTTCTGGATGAGATACAATCTCTCCTGTGCCAGTGATTCCTGTTTGGATTTCAGTGGTCTCTGAAACTGCATACTAAATTGTTTCAACTTTGCTCAGTACTTTGCGGCTTCAATTCTCTCATATTGAATAGTCAAACATAAACTGTTATTTTTTAAGCTCTTTCTTGCCCTGCAATTCTGCACACTCATTCTGCCACATAGTCTTCCAGGCACTCTAAGTGTTGTTGACCTTCAAAGTTAGGCTATGATGAGTTGGGTGACACTCACTGTCCCAGTAGCTATGCTTTTTCAGGTGGCATTCCAGCTACCAACATGTCTCTAGAGAGCAGATGCATCACTTCTGGATTTCCCAGCCTCCACCACCCAGGCACAGAGGGCTCCCAAACTCCTTTCCAAACATGGCTGCACAGCGCAATGCCGCCAAGCTGCTCGACCAGCCCCTGCATTATATCTTTTGACAAAGTTAAGCTCTGTGCTTCATTTCTCACAAATGCAGTTTGACTGTAGACAGCAGTCGACAAGTAAATCTACCCTTTTCCAGGGCAAACAGCCCAACTTTAATATTTTTACTGGCTTACAGCTGGCTATATTAAGCCCTGGATTTTTATTTATTTATTTTTTAATACTGTGCAACTGAAAATGAACAGCTACTTCACTATGACTGCCAAGGACAACCTTAAAAACACTAATGCAATCCAGTCCAGCTCTCAATAGATCTATAAAGGCTAGAGGACCAAAAATTTCAGCTTATCCACCCAAACAAAATGTTGGTTGGGCAGGAAGTCTAATATTTCGTTAAGATCCTTACAAAAAAGGAAAGAAAAAAAAAAGAAAGACCCCTATGTGTTGGAAAGCTGAAGATGGTAACAGTCCCAGCTATTATGCCATGAAACTGGAATTAAAACTTGCTGTGTTACTCACCCCAGCCTTCCCAGCATTCCAAGCTCTGGAACTTGCGGTCCATACGTCTCCACTTGCAGAGGCTGATACGTATACAGAGCTTCCTCTAGTTTTGGAATAGGAGCTAGTGAAATAGTCTGCCCCTGTTTAAAACAAAAAACAAAAAACAAGAAAAAAGGTAAAAAACTTCTACATATCAGGTCAAGGTTTTGTTTTGACTATTTTTAAATGCAATGCAAGGAACAAGCTTATACCATTAACCTGGTCCAGGCGAAGACCATCCCATTAAAACATACTGTCTATTGTATTGCCCATTTCTTCACCATTTAATTTTTTCACTGAGATCTATAGCTTGGAAGTAATGTTTCATTAGCTGTAACTATACGGACAAGGTAGGAGGAAAGGGGGGAGTTTTATTGAAGGCAAGCTTACCACTAGAGATTGCAGCTGCTTCCAGTGTCACCAGTAAAATTATTATTAGAAAAAATTTTGTTTACCAGAAGTAATATCAAACAAATGTCTCTGAGCAACCCTATTTGATTCTGTAATCAATGATTTCCTGAAAGCCCTAATTAGAATGGGAGGCTGCTTTCATTTCTCCCTGCAGCCTTTGTAAGCTCCCCTATATAACAATTCTCAAGATAGACTTTCATAGCACAATACAATTAATTCATTCAGCAAATTCCCATTTGTTTCATAACTAAAAATATAGAAACACACAAGCATGAAACTTTCATTCCAGATGGTACTTTTGCAAGCCCTTCAGACCACTGAGAAACAGCTAGACATTCCCCCCCTTCCCCAAGTCCCTATCACTCTGAGCTCTCACAAAACAGGAGACTTGTGGCTGGAAAGGAGGGGTCAGGAGGATATGAGATAGAGCCAAAGTTAACAGATGTTGCTGCATGACATTCTACATTGATTTGTTGATCTTTCACACAGTTTCAATTTTCTACTGTATTCTATGGTGCTCATGAAAATTAGCAGCAGCAGCAAAAAGACAGCACTGGGAGTTCCCCCAGAACAGCCTGGCTTCCCCTGTAGAAATTGAGCTTCACATCTGCAAAATGCAGGAATTTAGGAAAGTAGTATGCATTGGTTTTGTAGACATTTTGTCTGCAACAAGAGATTGGAAGCTTTCCACGGTATAATACCATGTATAACCCTGGCTTCCCACTAGTGATCACTTACTGAGCTTCACTTCCCTGGGGCCACTCATGTAAGCATCTACTCCCTCAAGTGGAAACTAAAGGCTCCTAATGTGGGACACTGGGTTAAAATTAACTAAAGAGGACAAAAAAATAGTAGAAGGGGAAAGCTGATAATTAAATTTGTGGTTGGGGACAGTGACCTTTCTGAATTTGAAGCATAGATATTTTTGTTTAGACAGTTGCAGAAAATAGCCAAGAAAATTGAAGACACAAGTCCTTGAGAAACACCGTTATGGATCTATGCCGATATCTACAGAAATATCAGCAGTTTAGGTTTTCCATTGAAATAGCTCGCTGCGTGTGATAAGAACAGACAGTTCTAGCCTGTTTCTGCACTGCCTGGGAGCCCAGAGGGGCTGCTGCTAACACCGTTAGGGTGAAGGTGAGATGTGGTGAAGAGAATTCTCAAGTCAGCCATGAGTCACTTCACCTTTCATGGTTAGCATGCTGTTATTTCTGTGCCACAAACTATTGCTGCATCATTAAAACCAGGCAACCACACATTTAAAAAAAATAACAAAAAAAAGGTACAGAAAGGAAGGTTAAAAATTCATCCTTAATCCCACTTTATGATGTTTAAGATACAACTGCAGGGTCTTTTTATATTGCAAGAAGTTGTCAATTTACAATCTATTCAAGTTCTTGAAAATATTATAACTTGTAACTACATACCTGTGGGTATGTTACACCTACTGTAAGACGTTAATGTATAACTAAAACTTTTAGATTTAAGTTTTTAACTGTATATTTCTCTCCAGCCAAACTGAAGGGAAGGACATACCAACATCTTACATGTGCACACCCCCATCTGGTGAAAAAAGCCTCAGCCTTTCCAAATCCAGAGCAATTTTGTTCCAGCCATAGAAATGAAAATTCAGTTTCAGGCAAAGTTCAAAACCATGATAAATATTTTGGGAAATTACTTGTGTGTGGAAAAAGGAGCAGCTCAGACTGCAGGAGCCACGTCTCTGGAGGGCATCACCAGAACAGCTGCTCGCTGTTAGCAGAGTTGCCACTGCTGCATTCCTAACACTTTTTTAACAAGAGCAACTTCTGCCAATGCTGGCCAAGAGACACAGGAAGGCTCCTGACAAATGGACTGGGCTCGTCACAACCTTCTTTCCACACCTCCGTTTATCCCGCTACAGATGCCCATTTCTGGGAACTCCTGGGAGGACAGGTTGAAAACATTTCATTTGTCTTCTGCTTTTTGGGGGTTCCCAACTGTATGGTGGTGACCAATGCTTGCTTCAGAAAAAGTCACTGAGCCATGCTGGGACCTATCTGTGAGGTACAGTATGGTGGCTGGTGGCCTGGAGAGCAGATCATCTGAAGAGGAGCAGAATAGAGGAACTGTCCACCCTTGAGCTGGTCTGACCTCATGTCCAGCACAGGCCAGGACATTTCCATGTGCATGTAAAAAGCCCAAGGACTGTTCAGCCAAAGCACCTTCTTTTGAAAGGCATCCAACTTAAAGATTTCAGACCATAAGGGTCCACAGCACAGCTACTAGGTAAATTATTCCAATAGTTAAATATCTTCACCATTAAATAGCGGCACATTATCTGGGTCATCAAGATCAGCACTGGGTTTTGTATTTTTCTCACCTGTACCCTGGGACAAGGTGCATGCATTAGGAGTACATACTTTTGCATGGCAAAATGACTGCACTGGTTTGTGTCCAGCCAGCAGATCTGCACCTCAAGGAGATAGTGCAGTTGTATGACACGTCTCATTTGGTTTTGCTTTGCAAAATCACAACTTCAGCTGATGGGCTTTGGCACTGTGGATTACATTCCACTTAGCAATGGAGTTGAGGGGGAAATCTGAACATGATCAGCTGTTGTTCCTGCCCTACAGCTGTCTGGCTTTTAGAGGTAGAGGTTTTTTCCTATAAACCAGATTTTATTCTGCCTTGATTCCGGAAAGGGTTAGATGAAAGCATAAGTTACAACATACACTCCTACTGAAAGGGGCTGAAGTTGGTCAAGCCCTGCAAGCCCATCAGCTCTGTAGTTGTTTTGGATGTGAACAGGATATATCTGTGCTGCTGACTCCTTGCAATGCCAGTGCAGAGGCATGGCTACATGGGCTTCTAAGCTCTCCAGCTTCCAACTTGGTCAGCCCTGCACAATTACAGTGTGGTCACAACACTGGCTATGGCACAGACTGGTGCAAAAAGGCTGGGATGGAAACCTATGAAAACTTAACAGTGAAAAGTGTTGCTTTCCCTACTTCCACTAATGTGAGGCTAAGGCGCATTTATAAAAAAATCATGTTGAAGTTAAAAGGCTCAATTTGACCAATATTATCTCAGTTAAAAGCTTAACTCATTGGTTTTGTCTCTGTCCTGAGTGGTCCCTAGCCCATTTCATAAAAGACTGGTATAAAAGGGAAGTTGTGTAGCTTTAGAGACATCACAGGAGACAGTTCTGTTACCTAGGACTTAAGACAGCACTTTTACAGATCCAAAAAACATCTCACATCTACGAGACAAGATGTTAAAATTTCCAGTATTCCACCTAGACAGCCAGCACTACCTCTTCCCAACACTAGGAAGCATTTATCAGCATGTTAAAACCATAATGAAAGCAGTGGGTCCAAGATCCTGCTTTTGCATTGCTTTCTCCTGACAAACCTAAGATCTGACTTTGTGGTCATGGGTAAGTACTTTTAATTCCCCTTGGATGCTGTAACGTTTGTGTAAAAGAAGCTGACATTATCCAAATGGAGACAGAAAAGGCCTCCAAGAACACAGACAACAGATTTTCCTGCCTCCTGTCCTTCCCACCCCTATCTTCGTGGCATACGATTTTTTTCTCTTGGATTATTTTAAGCAGCGTAGCTGTCTGTTATGTTTTGGAATGTATGGAACCACAAAACACACTGCTAATTAGAAGGAAGGCATTTGCTTATCCTTATGACTTTGTTTATGTAAAAGGCTGCACAGCAATGGATTTGTGAGCAACTGACTTTACATTCATGTACTGCATGGTTTTAGATGAGAGAAATAGAGGATTATTTAACATACACACCCTTTAAAGGCTTTGCATTAGAAATAAAATTGACTGGCTTATTTTACACTATCCTAGATATACTGTTTGAGATGCCTCTCAGTTGAAATAATAAGAAATAAAAGTAGTACATAATTTTTGTTTCAGACTGTGATATAGCATGGCACTGAACAAAAAAAAAAGCCATGGATTATATACAAAGAGCTGCCCTTGCAGTGACAAGGAGTTAATTTTAAAGAAAATGTATGTCCTTTTAGGGAAAGTTGCAGCTATTAGAGCATCAGAATTACAGTGTATCTGAGCAGTTTCCACACACGGATTTGGGGGAAGAACTCTTGGCAAATGCAGGTATATCAGTATTTGCCTGCTAACAGAAAGAGGTTATTTTAGCACACAGAGTCCAGAAATAACAGGGCAAGGTGCAGCGTTCACACTTCTTCCCCTCCTGTTGTCTCTCAGTTTCCCTGTTTCCAAAATGACACTGCCTTCCTTCACCTCCTTCCTTCAGCAGCAAAAAGAAATAACAACTGACAGACTTCTCAGAAATCTCTCAAGTGCCAAGGAGGAGGAGAAAGCAGACTGACACCAAAAATGCACTAGTGGGGGAAAGAGGAGGAACAGCTATGCCACAAAAACATCCCCAGGCAAGAGACAGAAGCCAGAGACTGGGGTCAGTAAAACTTGTCCAGACAAAGCATATTTCTGTACTAGAAGCAGCTGGACTAGATGATGTAGCCAAACTTTCTGCTTTTTTAATTTCTCTCTGCTTAGGAACTTGCTCAGGTCTGCTATCACCATACTACCAGACCACAGCACAAGTCAGATAACAGAAATAGTAATATTTATGTGCTATGTCTTTTTAAGCCAGTTTGCAGCAATGCTGTTGTTATTTAACTCTTACACTGCCTGATCTAAGGA